TTACTTCATTCTTCTAATAAACTGAATGCACCTTTAAGAAGCCCTGATATACAACCTCTGTTCCCAAAGACACTGGGGCCTTCAAAAGAAACCGATGTGCCTCATAAATAAATGCCTCTGCAGGCTTTGATAATGTTATATGAGATACTTACTTCAATGCAAATCAGTTGTTCTAAGGTAAATGATTTATACAGTCTGATAAATACACCTCTCCTGAAAGACTGCTTGATCTTAAAAGGGTAAAACATGCATGTTAAATTTAAATGTATTTGTAGCCTTCATTTTACTATAGTCTGATATTTACTGCAGGAATTGAGCAAAGGAGTTGGCTTTGAAAACTGCCTTAGCAAAACCTTTTCCTTTTTCATACCTATTTAAGCAGAAAGTTTAGCAAACAATCATAGAATGATTTGAGCTGGAAGGGACCTCTGGAGACCTTAGGTATAGTACACACATAAAATTCTCATTGAATATGCTAAAAAATTCCTTTGTGCGAAACCTCCAGCTTAGTATCACTGCTGTAGGGCTGGAATCCTCTGACTTGAAATTGGCACCTGGCTGCAGAAAAAGCTTTGAGATTCCCAGCCACCCACTCTGATTCCCCAGGCTAAAGTGTTCAAGAAGAAACACAGCTGAAATAAGTGTCTCAATTTTTAATACATCTCATATTTTAAGCTAGTCTTTGGTGAAGTATAACTATGTTTGTTAAATAGCATAAAAAGAAAATTACATACATATACACCCACATATGTATGCACATTGAAAACATTCAGGGAAACATTTTCTGCTGCAAATGTGAACTGCTAAATGCTCAGATGCTGTCCTCCACTGATACAGCTGTTTATATTTGATAAATTCTTCCCATGTGATCTCAAGCTCCTTATTACTTTAACAGCAGAATAAGCAAAGTGAGTACAGTTATTAGCAAAATCTGAGGACATGTTCATGTCCCTGTGTGACTGGCACGCTCTTACTCTGCAGGAGGTCTGGGACACAGCTCCCAGACTGCTGAAAGTTTACTCCATTTAACACAGTTATAGAAGGAATTTGTCACAGACTAGCCAAAACATACAGCCTATGAAGTTGATGCTTAAATAATAAAAGGTTCTAGAGTCTTTCCACTTTTACTATATGAAAGATTTGTAACTAAGGAAGATAATTTCTTTACAGTAAAAATAGTGGCATAGGCAAAAATTACTTTAATTCTTCAGAACTGTTTGTACTTCCAGATATGGGACAGAAGTTATAGGCAGTGCAAATATCTAAAAACATACCTTAAAGTACCTAACTCCAGATTTACTCCAGTGTATCCTACATTCTTTAAGGTCCAAATCTGGTATTAATAATGAAAACCACAATGCAGCTGTGCACAGTTTCATTCTACAGGATGAAATTCAAAGGGGCCAGATTCCTTGCAAAGCAGCCAGATACTGTTCCAGTCCTAGAGACAGGCTTCACAAAGTGCTGGATTGGCTTTTTACACTATTTGTTCTCATACACCACAAAATTAGATGTACCCTTTTGGATGTCAGTCAGACCAATTAACAGTGTAGTGGTTTATTTAAATGCATAGTTCTTCTATAAACTCCCTAAGTAACATTCTAAATTGTAAACTGCTCTGCTTTATTTAATGATTAAAAATCAGTTAAGATTTTTGATTTTCTCTCATTAAGCTGCAGAGTAATATTCAAAATCCTAAAACAGCAAAAACTTGTATCTTGATTTTGCAAAAGGCCTTAATCAACATTTGGTGTTACAGCTTCTAGTAGGTCAACTACAGCACTTGCTGAACACATTACTTTGCACTGCTGCTGAGATAGAAAAGTCCTCATAATTTAAAGTTTACTTTGTTCTGCCGAGACTTTACAGCCTTTGCCAGATTTCTTTTTTTTTTTCTGTGCAGCGGAGCTCCGCAGTGCTGTATCTCCTAATAACAGAAATACTACTGTATCTTTTTGCTGAAATACTGGAGAAAGCAGATTGGTGCAGGGCTACCAATACACTAAGTGGGTTTATTCACCTTTTAGATCCAGTTCATGCGGCTATGACCAATAAACAGGCAAACTGGTCAGCTTCAGTCAGACAAAAAATGGTGTTTTTTATCATAGTAAGTAGTCAACCTAGAATAGTATAGTTATCATTTGTGTCTTTTAATCTCTGTGTAAAATTAAGTTTGGTACAGAAAACATAGATTCTGCATGTCTGCAGGCCCTGACCATGTAAAATAGATCTCACAGTCCTGACAGGATCTGTGTATGCAACTTTCTCTGCAGATTTAAGGTTAGAAGTCCCACTTATCCTGACACAAACAGTATAGAAACAAAGATATGAGTATCATTTTTAAATTAACATACAGTAGTATCTTTGAATGGCATCTATACTGTTTTTCAACTAGTACTGCCCAAGCCACAGGGAACCAACTTAAATGTCTTTGCAAACTATAGCTCAGAATTGTTTCACTGCTCAGCTCTTCCACATCCTCACCTCCCAGCTCAAATACTCATCATTATTCTCTGTCACAGCTCTACTGCACAGGTTTGCTATTGACAAACATTCGTTGATTTTTATGGTGAATATAAGCAGGAGAAACTGCAAAAAAAGCAATAAAGATATGAGACACCAATAAACATGCCCCAGGGGACAGTGGGGACAAAAAAGACAACATATACAAACAGGACCAACCATCAAACTATTAGTTTTCTGGGACCAACAGTTCGATATGTTTCAATAAGAATTTTCCTGAATAAGATAAGGCATAGTTATTTATACTTATTAAATACTTTTCAATATTTAATATTGAAAACTGTTAAAGAATCACATCATTTATTGTAAGGAATGTTCTTTCAGAACATTCACAACATTTGCATTCTAAGAAATGCAAAATTGTACACAATTCACTATAAAGGACTATTATTAATCATTTTCAGGATCACAGTAACACAAAACATCAAGATCCTGAAGACAGCGGATTTATGCTGAGATCTGAACACAGACCTGGTTTATTTAGTAGAAAAAAAAAAATTACTGAGCATTGAAAACCACACAGTGCTGCATGAAATGTGCTCTTTGCAGAAGACAAGTGTCCGCACAGGGAATGTTGCACTGGGTCAGACTCAAGAGCCGTACAGTTCGAGACCAGATCTGATCAAATTACTTCAGAAAATCAAACTGCTTCAGAAGTCAAACGAATTTTGCAGCCAAGTGGTGAAAGGTGACCTGCACTCTTCAGCTCTTTTAACTACCCTGCGTATCAGAGACTGACTTAAGCAACTTAAAGGGTTTCAGAAAGATATCTCGATTTTTCTCTGGAGCAAGTTGCACCAATGATTGTAAGAAACATGTCGCTTTAACTCCCTAATCATTCATTCTCAGCCCTCTTGGTCCTTTCATTTTCTCAGGAGCATTTTTTTTTTCTCCCTGGCTGCTTTAAAGAGCTGTTACTAGCTCAGTGAAACCTTCTCCTCATGCAGCAAATCCGCAGCTTCACTTGGAAGCTCCTGTCCTGAGAGAGGCAAAGGAGCCGCTCACAGAGGAGCGTCTTCCCCCGCGGAGCCTCGCTGGGGCTGTGCCCATCTGAAGCAACATTATTTCCAGTTCTCTCTATGGCAGGTCACGTGGGATCTAAGTTCTGGGGAACTGCAGCACCAAAATAAAATTTAGAAGCAACTTCTTTTGAAAGGCCAGTTACTGATAATAAGGATACTGTATTCATGACCTTCATATATCTGTTTACAAGAAGACAGGATTCTACAGCCTATGAGAGATACTAAGTTTTCCTGAGCTTGCAAAACACGTAGTTAAAATGTAAACAATAAAGTGCTAAAACTGGTCAGAATATTTACAATTATTATCCACAAGTGCATGTGCACATCTAGAGAAGGTGAATTCCAAAATAAGACTGAGATATGCAGCACTTCGAAATTTCTCTGACATGTTAGTCAAGTAAATATGATTTGATTTGAATAGACACATGGCTCCTTTTAAGGTATTCACACAGAAACCCAGAAAGCTTCTTGCTCTTCATGCTATTCAGAATAAAAAAAAAAGAAAACGAAAAAGGGGGGCAGGAAGAAACAAAACCTAGGCTTTCAAAATCAACCATTTCCCATCACCAAAACTAGAGTCATTTGAAGAACATATTAGTGCTTATTCTAATTCCCAGGCGTAGAACTGTAACTCTCTCACACGTGTGTAATCATTCGACATGTGAGCCGCATGAAGACCAGAATCAGCAGTCCTGCAGAACACATTTATGCCCTTTTATTGTTGACAGGACTTCAGGGCACTTTTAAAGTCCCGTTATGTGAAAAAAGGAGATAAAATTAAGCATGTACTGGACCACTGAGTAGCAACTCTTGCTGAACTAGGCTGCAATCAGGCCCTCAGATACTGGAAAGTGCACTTATAAGAATGTGTTACACATCTTTGGAAACTGTGAAAGACTTCACACTATTTGCCCTCTAAAACATTTCAATTTAGAGTGTTATCTGAATGCCCAAGCATAGCTCTTTTTGATTTCAGACCATAGGGAATTACACAAATGCATCAATGGAAATTAGTAGGAAATGTGACTTTTCTCAGCCTTAGAAAACATAGTCAGGAATAATAAAAGATGCTTACTATCACAAACCTCATAAGAGAATCTCTCTCCTTCTTTCTTCTGCTCAGTGGATTGCAAGTCAAAGGCATTAGACAAAGACATGACACATTACAGACAAAGCACAATGCACCAATTCTGCAAAATTTTCAGTTACAGGCAACAGCACTGATACATAAAAAAGCAAAATATAGTGCAATACAAACATTAAAATAAAGCTAGCACTACAGACTGCAACACAAAACACCCATTTTTGGTTCAACTTTACAGATCATTAGCATGTTTCTCAGATTTTTAAATTTCTTTTATTTTTTCAAATACAAGTGAAGGCTGTTACTGGGTTAAAAACATAGTGCTAATGATCTCTAAGTAACTCTGAAGAGAACCAGGAAACAAATCTCACCTCCTTTCCTCCCATGGACTCGAACATTTTCTCAAGCTGGACTCGTAACTGTTGAATATTGTTCATCAAGATACAGGGCTACAAAAAAAGCAGAAAATGTGATAACTGTGCATTTGTGACCTTCAATTGCTGGGGGAAAAAGGTAACAAAATACAAAATGGATGAAATTAAGCAACTTATTAAAGAATTATGAGAGAAGAGATCTATTATCGGGATTTTGGGTGTTCAGATGACATTATGTGCTAGTTTGGTATGATTAGAAGAGAAATAACACAACCTTTCCTTAAAGAACTCTGCTTGGTCAAGGCCGGCGTGCACCAGTGCAGCACCACGTTTCCACAGACCCTGAAATGATGCATTGCAATAGAGCACAGAGCCCTTTCCCATAGCAGGGGCTGGAGGACAAGATCCATGTTTTGGGATCCCTGACACCCCCCCTTGCCTCCCTCCGTGCGCTGAGCTGTGACTAAGTCAGACGAGCGCATCTATCTGCTCGCATCTACCGTCAAGGGCACTCAGCTGTCAGTCAGCATTTACTGACTGGGCTCCATCTCCCGTCTCCTCCAGCAACAAAGCTGCAGGGAGAACGGGCAGAACCTGGCCCGTGGCTGTCATTAGGACCTTGAGGAGGATACTGACAACGTAACACTGCTCTTGACGGTATTCCTAGGTATAGTAGAAGTGTTGTGCTTACAGGGCAGTAAATATTTTCTGGTAAACAATTTCAGAAGCAACGTTATATATAAATACCATTTTCCAGGAGTTTTTCAGTTGTGGTGATTAAGTTAATTTCTGCTTGCAGATCTGCAACTGTTATCATGGGGAATCACCTATAAATTCATACAGTTGTAAAGCCAAAAGACTCTGTTACTTGTATATTTGTTCTTTCCCAAACTTTGCTTGAGTGTTCACTGCATGTTCCCTTGTGTTCATGAATGGACAACAAAATTTAACGTCATATGGAAGCCAAACTGTGATTTACTGCGTAAGTGACACTGCAACTGGGGAACTTGGGATGGTGGCAAACAGAAGGATGGAACCAAAATCCCAAACTATTCCAGGAGCTCTTCTATTCTGACCAGTTTTTATATGCAAGAAAGACCCAGAAACAGTGGGCCATAAAAAGGACAAGTAGTAAGGACAGGTGGAGAGTAATATATAAATAATAATTCTTATTATTTGTATTTGAGCTTATGACATGTATACATGTACTTTCTGGCACAACTGCAAACACTGAAAGAAATATTAGTGCTGAATCAGTGTCTCTAGGTTAAAATACAACTGTGAAATAAACAATCTGTTTTAATGCCTCTTTTCTGGGACTGTTATGTGTAGTACCCAGGAGAAGCAACCACAGGACTCCAGGGAGATTATTTCTGATATGACACATGCTTGCCTTTCAGACAACTGACTGAAAGATAGTATTGTAAGATTCATTTCCATAAGAAGAGATAAGAGATTAAAAAAAAAAAAAAAAAAAAAAACATGTCAAGTATCTGGTGCTTCCTATGTGCTTTTGGGTAATACTAGTCTGTGGCTACCTACAAAATGTAGTGACTAGATACAGACAGAGGGGAGCCAAATTCTCCCTCTTTTTACAGGAGTTATCTAGGGCAGAAATACACTCGTGATGTTGCAGCTATCCTTCTACGCCATTCCTGACACCGTTGTCATGGAAAAAAGTATCTATTTCATTATAGCTTTTCTATTCTACTCCATCTCTATCTCCCCCTTTTTGACACGTTCATTATTCTGGAAACAATCTGCAATGTCATAAATCAACGATGATGATTTCTGATGGGTAATAAGTGGTTGAAAATAATGTTTGGGGTTTTTGTTCAAAACAAATGCAAATGTCTTTGGCATTGTCTGAAGCCAATTACAAAAGCAGATGCTCTCAGATGCTTCACAATGAGACAGTTTTCAAAGTTTCCTCCAAGACTAAGGTTATTGTTTCAGACCTGGAGCCTATCTTGGTTCAATGGAAAAAACTCTATTGCTGTCAATATGTACATAATCAGAGCTTAGGAACATTCTCATCTTATTGCTCCTGTATCATCTTGTCCCTCAGAATTTGAAGCAATTAAAAAAAGGAATCAGCCAGACACAGCGCATAAAAGTAAATAGCAAATGTATATATATATATGAAACTGGTATTTCTGTAAACTCTGACAAGGAGGTGGAAGATAAGAAGATGTTTTTATGCTACACACCTCTTCTATGGCGTAATCTTCGTCCAGCTTTTATCTGAATAGTTTATGTATACATAGAGAGCTTTATAGAGTTTAACAAAAACAGTAAAAATATGGACCTGAAAAAATGTCAAAACCTAACTATAATCATAGAGACTATTTGATTTCATCTGTTCTATCAAATCAAATGGAGAAGACGGAATTCAAATGAGTTCAAACGGTCACCAAGTTAGATGTATGTAAGAATTTAAAAGAGATGCCATCTATTAAAAATAAGTTATCTCCCACAAAGGCATTTGTTTTAATACTTCATGCCTTTCCCTTTATTACAAAACCATAATGAGATTAGTCTCTCTAAAAATCTTAGTAAAATTGTCATTCCAGGGTGGTTTCAAAAATCAGTTGTTTCGACAACTAAAAACATCCTATTAGACAGTGTAAAAAATGACACAAACAGTTTACTTGGTTGACTCAATACTGTGTGTCAAGGTTTGCTTTCTTCTGAAAAGTAATAAACTTAGTTTAATATCAGAATTAAATTGAAAGGAACAGATAATCAAAATGTAAAGTTTGTAGCAATGTTTATAGTTATGGCTATAATATTGGGCCAAATATAGAAACAGACTGTTTTGTATGAAGGTTGGTTTGAACTCGTTAACATTAAAGCAGAAATAAAGAAAACGAGGAATTCGCTTCCTCCTCCTGAAGAGTTAATAGTGGTTTTCCCTTGGAGGAAAGAGGGGTAAGAAATGTAAGATATGAAAGTAAGGACAAAATTGCATGACTCTTCATGCATGTTGATGCTGATACAGCCTTTGAATTTCCATGGTTACTTCAGGAATAGAACAGAGGATCCAGGCTTGTCTGAACAGAGAAAACATCCTGCTGGATTATGGTAAAGCACCTGGCGAAACAGTGTGCTGGTCTGTCACATACAGCTGCACGTGCTTCCAAGCATTAATGTAGCTAGAGGAGTGATTCCCTGCACACAGTGCTCGTCTGGCTTGGCCTGATGCTTTTAGTCTCTTCCAGTTTTGAAAAGATTTAAGTATTGCCAGGAGCAAGATATGTGGATATCTGCTAAACAGGGTCTCTTCAGTGTGTTTGCTGTAATAAAAGGCTTAATAGTTTAAAATATCTGAAGTGGGAAGTAAGTCTGAGACATGACACATCATATAATAAAGTAATTCCCCAGTCAAAACATGTATATAAAACTTCTGTTTAGCAATATGCCTTTGAAATTAGTTTTTTTTTTTTTTTTTGCTTATTAATACTATTTTAGATGAAACAGTGTAATAGGAACAGAATGATACAACCTCATCCTATCAAGTATCTCCAGGTCCTGAAAAATTAATACTTTTAGTCCACCCTGTTCAAAAGCAGAACAGAAGGACCTAACCTTTATCAGTGATAAACTTCTGAATTCTTTTACTATATGTTGATGACCTCTGGATTATGACATCCCACACTCACAATGACAGCACCGGCGAGAAGAGCATGTCCTCCAGTTATGCACTGAAATGTGACAAGCACAGTGCAGCTGTCTGACCTGCATTAAGGTTGTGCCTTTAAAGGTGAGCAGTGTAAGAATGGTGCTGTAGTTACACTGTGGTACCACATACTAAGGACAGTAGGCATAACGCTAACGTTACCTTCTTCGGGAGTAGTGGTCTTGATGTAGTATCGCTGATAGTACAGAGAAGTAAGTGTTCAAGAACAGCCTCCCTTGGTCATATTAAGCTATTGGTAATGTTGTAATTTGCTTAACTGTACCTTTAGTGTCCATATCTTGTTTAATTTTTAGTCTACAGTAATCTGGTGCACTATTAGAGATCCCTTTGTAAGCAGTAAAGCAACAAAATAGCACATCCTTTTCTTCCCACTGCTGCATGGATAAAACTCAAGACAGTGATAACAGTGGGAGAGTGTGTCCACATTCCCTCGCTACCTATGGGGCAAGGAGCTTGTAACACTCCCACGAATACTGTTGCAAACTGATGCAAAATGAAAACTCAAACAGAATGAAAGTTTTCGTGCACTTGGAAAAAAAAAAGTTGAAGATATTTTTACCATTTTCACTTTTGAATTATGATTTTGTACTAGATTACATCCAGATACTAAATCTGGTCATGTCATTAAAAACAGAAAACAAAGCACACCCTCTCCAAGATGAAAGATACTGATCAGGACGCTGAGACAATTCCACCTATTCAAACTGTTGCACAGCTGTCTGAGCAACCATAAAAACATGTTGTTCATGTATAAAAAATAAAAAACAGGACTCCTTCTCCAAATCATGTATTTCCCCTTATACAAAAGTGATTACATTTTCAAAAGGTAGAGTTAAGTCACTTTAAGGTAATTTCTCAGGCAGAAATAGAATGCATAGCTTTTTACTCACCACATTTTCTTTATCACAATACGAACTGAAGTAATTAGAAATGATTGCAGCATACTGAAGAAGCACTTTGTTGATGGTCTAGGAAGAGAAGAAGAAACATGTAAATGATAAATATCATGTAAAACAAAAAAAGTGCAAAGCAAAAAGAGTAGATTGTATAAATAATAGATTATGCAGGTGCTTACACAGTAGATATACATTATTTTAACTTAGATACAGTGTGAACACTGTTATGGGCATGTTTTCAAATCCCTGCACAACAGATGGTGGGTTATCCTTAACGGAATGTAATCTTCAATAGCAGCGATGCTCTACTGAAGTCATCCTGATTCTGAGGAGCACTGAGGGCACTAGTTCTTGCAGACTGCTACATACTTAACCGAACTGTAGAGAGCTCAAAAAGTCCTCTAGGTGACAATGCATAGATTAAAAATATAATGGAAGGATAAAATCAAGAGAGCACGGTTTAAAGTCTAGCAACGTGAGTTTAATTTACAATCATCACATGAATTTGAAATTTGTTTGCAGATGAAAAACTGTTACAGGGAACCACAGGAATGAATGCATTTTTTTTTTCAGACATCTCCAATGCAATGGAATTTAAAAGCTTTTGTGGAAATGTTGCAATTCACACAGAAAGCTGGCCTAACAAAATCCAAAGATCCTCAAACAGCAGGTTACGTGAGTTTAATTTACAATCATCACATGAATTTGAAATTTGTTTGCAGATGAAAAACTGTTACAGGGAACCACAGGAATGAATGCATTTTTTTTTTCAGACATCTCCAATGCAATGGAATTTAAAAGCTTTTGTGGAAATGTTGCAATTCACACAGAAAGCTGGCCTAACAAAATCCAAAGATCCTCAAACAGCAGGTTAAACCTATTAAATTAAGACACTGTTCACTCTGAATCTTTCCTTCACTCCTTTCACTCCTCTCTCTCTTTCC